TGTGGGGGGTAGGTCAGTTTTGCCGACTCTCTTTTTTCTCAATAATGCGATCAACGGTTGAGTTGTATTACTACTATTTACAGCCGTTGTTCTTCTGCATCAATCATAGTTATTGTGCTATGAATTATGATACGGTCTTGAGACGGTAATGGCATGGGCCATTGCTAGAGTACATGAGAGGGAATTGCCACCTTAATTCACCCGTATCGGCCACCAGAATAGACCCCCCCCCCCTCCGTCCCCCCTCATTGACACTATCGTTGTTGAAAATGAGTCATGAGTTAATTATGCGATAATAGGGCAGGGGAGTCGACGATTAGATTGATGGTATATGAAATTGCGGGATGCAGGAAACATGGGGGTGGGGTTATTATTCATTTTCGGGCCCGCTAGGAATGTGGAATGTAAGCGTTGTGTCCCATTGTATTTTGAGCCGCTTTGACGTTGGATAGGAATAAAGGCATAAAATTTGGTAAGGGGTTGATAAGAATAACCTTCCTCGCCTGCCACTGGCTTCTATAGATGGTTACATCAACGGAATCTACATTTGAGAGAGATGAGAAGTTCACCGCCGCTCCGCCCATTGAATGTATCAATTCTCATATAAGATAGATATGCCATAAACGATGGAAATTATCAGTCTGCGGACTACCTGGGACATCCGTATGAAAAAATGTTAGCATTTTCATGTTGCTTTTACGCAGTATGAGGATTGTGACCAAAGCGAGGATGGCCCCCCCCAGAATTCCTGATTGAGTCAACATTGTGGCTGATAAAATATCTGATTCGCATAAAAAAAAACATTAATTTGTAGCGGTTATAAACCGAGCAGAGTATAGAGTACCCCCCCCTAATTATATTGGAGGATCTTAGATTATTTAAGTTATGAAATATGGCTAGGATGATGGGCGGCATAGATGAGGACACACCCCCTCGGATTATGATATAAAAGATGTTTCATGCCCCCCCTTACTAATCTATGAGCGGATATGATATCAGGCTGGAATGGGTTACCCCCCCCCGCAGTAAGCTTGAGACTGAGTGCTCGTTCCCCCCATTATATTATGATCATAAACAATAGATTAGACCAGGAGATTCGGTAAATGGTATTTGCGTCCACCCCCCCTATATCCGATAAGGTAAAATATGTTGAGTTTATTATCATCTATCCCCCGAGTTTCCGATTACCATGCACGGCCATAAGACGTTATGTGTTTTAATTGTTCGTCGAGCGCAATACCACATCCGGGCGCGATTATGCGTGTCGACTTGGAATAACGGTTACAGTGCTAGACACCCCCCCCCCCCCCACTGACCCCCTATTGTAACGGAAGGTCATGAATCCTCCCGATCTCTGTCAACGATCTATCAGATGAAGCTGATATGGTCATGGTGGTTATATAAAGGAGTCATTGTTTCAAGGCTATTGATCCCCCCGAGGCCTCATGGACATATGAATACCCACCCCCCCATTATGTGCGGCATCTTCAGCACAAGTGGATTGCGGATAGATGATTTTCGGATTGGTGAATCTATTACTTATGGTATTAGGATAAAGTAAATCCCCCTCCAATATACACTCGGTATATATCGGCATAATGTTGATGAGACACGTGAGTTGCCTATAATCATCCTCCGCCCCCACCCCCCCTCCCTATTCACTATTATGTCCCGCCCTCCCCCCCCGCCATAACCCCCCCCCAACCTCCCTATGGATAGGAAATTTAAATTGCATACCAGCAGACTGAGAATAAAGTGAATTGTGGTTGGCGGGGATTATTGGTTTTATTACTTAGGCCAAGACGTAAAGTATTGAACATTGGTATAGAGCTTCGCACCTCGAGCAAAAGAATGGTCGATGCCCCGTGGAGAGCCTCGGCAGGAATTGAGATCGTAACTATCTCGGTTATCGTTTATATTTTCGTTGCGGATATTGGCGTAGGGAATTGATTGCAGGCAACGATAGAATCCTAATTTGTCCCTCCGCCCCCCCCCATATGATATAGCAAAAATAATATATTCATAACGGGAGATGTAAGCATTATTTAACCCCCCCTCTCATTAAATAATTTACTGGATTTGAGACGATGGGATGAGAGTACCCCCCCCCCCCCCCCCCACCCCCCCGATGTTCCCCCAAATGGAGACAAACTACAGTCTAGTATAAAACACCATGGGTAACACTCGATCCCCCCAACCATTGTCAAACGCACGAGCTGTGAATGATGTGAGATTCCACCGAGTCAACTCCATATTATAAGTATCCAATCATGAGGATTATATTGACCATGGGTAATAAGTGTATTATTCAGCTGTTCGATTAATGTTAGAGTTGAGACGGCACTGGATCCGCGCGCAAAGCATGACCTCAAGACCTCGCAATTGTATTCGAAACTAAGTACATTACAGCGCAGTGAATTTGGGATTATATCTGGATTGTATTATGAGGCAGTAGATGAGGAGGTTGCGACGGATTCGGATTATTAGACTATTTATCAAATTCCCCCCCCCCCCCTTTGTTGCAGCCTAACCCCAGCATCTCCGCTCAACGCAGACCTCCCCCCCCTATTTGCTTGGAGAATGCAGTCCCGCATGATCGAATCAATGGTATGATATGATTATCCCGCCGGAATTGTTGATTGCTTTTATTAATTCTAAATGTATCCCCCTATGAATTAAGCCCCCTCCCCCCGGCGATATGGTTCTGAGATCGTGGAGTCTCGACTTGATGGCCCCCCCCCCCAGACTTTTGATTCAGTATTATGTCGAATCGGCATTGGAAATCTATTGGTAGGGATGAATCATATGGATTCGCTATATGAATTGGACTATTATTGATTATTAAATGGACACGATGACCCCCTCATGAGTGCCTGGCTAATATTAAAACTCCGATTTTACACCCACCCCCATAAGATTTGGCGTATGCATAATATGGATGGCGCACAGGCGCCCCCCCCCCCCGCGGTTTTTATGAGAGTGCCAATTAAGCTAGGAATCTTGATGTGCCTCTCCCGCGGCCTTTACAATTTTGCTATTCCTCGCATAGATTCGAGTCGCAAATCGTATATTGGTCGCACACATGATACGTAATATCAAGATTTTTCCATCGAATCGCCTCGCGACTCAGGAGTATTTGATTTTTGATCGAATGATTTGAATATAGCCGTTCGATGATTTTTGTATAGAATGGATGATTGATATGTTTAATGCCTAAATATACTGCAAAATTATATATTTAATAAGCCCAAGAGCGATGAATTTTGATTTTTGAGGTAAGTATCGAATGGACTCACCTGGTAGCACTGAGGAGGTATCCAGAGCGTATATCGCAACAGTTATTACGATCCCGGTAACCCCCCCCCCACACCCTAAATAATTGCATTTCCCCCCCTCTCTCCCTTAAAATTATGTACGGTTAGATCCAATTTGTGTGAAGGCCAGCCCCCCCAATGATTACTCTTACTAATTGTGAACATCGCGTTTTGTTTGGGGTCCGTTCTCGCGGGAAGTATGTCCTAATTCATTGTATATAATAGACGGATTTCCAGTAATAGACGGGGCAGATCTTGTAGCATCACCCCCCTATATATATTCCCATATCATATACTCGGGGTGATAGTGATGCATGAGACGGGTTCGGTGTTTCATGTCCGTCTCTATTATAGGGCGTTGGAGTCTCAGTAATACGCTGAAGTCGTGAGTACGTTCATATGTTCGAGTTAGCATTCGTATTTTCCGCCTGTCCTTTGCGCTGTTCCATACTTAGAAGAGGCTGTGGTATAATCACGGGAGGCAAGTATGCTTGAGCACATAGTCACATTGTCGTAGATGTCAGTGGCTCCCTTAATGTCAGACGAAGGAAAGAAATGGTCCCAATTTTGGACACTAAGCAAAGCGGAGAAATCTACCCAATTAACATTTTGAAGGAAGTGTGGAACCACCGCAGACCTCACGTGCGACGACTCAGCTATTCTTTTACATCCGACTATTTTGTGTTCACATCCAGGGAGATCGTCAATTACATCAGTAGCTATCTGGGAGGTGCCTGAGATAAAAAGTAGGTCTAGTATATTTTTTTCCCTGGTAGCCACGAGAACATGTTGCTCCCAACCACGAGTGATGACGAAGGTTATGAACTCAACATGTTTCGCGTTTGTTTCTAACTTTGACCAACAGATATCTGGTGGGTTGAAATCACCTAAAACTTTATCAACAGAACCAAGTTCCGGTATGTAATTGAAGATTTCAACCAATTGGTTCTCATCACTGAAGCTGGCCCCGGGTGAGCAGTATATACAGCCTACAAGCGTTCGCTTAGTACCGAAGGACAAGAGTAACCAAGCGGAATCAATAATGGGGCATATAAGTGGAAGTGTGAATTCAGACACACGGAGGTTCTTTTAGTAGTAAATTATGCAACCATCTCCTCTACCTTGCTTTCGATCACTTCTAATAAGCTTGTGACCTTCGATAGAAATCAGCTGGCTGAGCATAGAATCATGACACCAGGTTTCAGTGAGTAAAATCATATCAGGTTTAGTCAGACATATGAAGGTGCGGAGTAAATGAAGCTTATTCAACAGAGAACGGATACTAAGTATCATCAGTCTCAAAAGTCCTGGCGGTGTCCATCATTCCATCTAGTATTTACTCTTGCAATCACATTAGTTCTAGAGACTTCCGCAGCAAATCCCTTACCGTGAGATTCGCCAGTCCTATCGGGATTAGGGGGTGGGAGAATGCAAAAATAATGCTGTGGTAATTTGGGGCGATTGTGTTTAAGTGAACAGGGTGTTACTGCCGAAGGGCTCGCAGAAGGCATTGTGAGAGGAGGAGGCGGAAGAGAGTGTGGAGAGGGGCATAAATAAGTGGTCTGTGTTTCAGCAAAGCTATCTAGAGGCATGCCAGGAGAACAGTCTTGGCACATCGCCAGAACAATGGGGAAGTGTGGCTTGCCACTCTCTGTAGCAGCATTATTATTCACGACTATCATTGGGACACGGGAAGTCACCTCTCCAGCATAAAGGCCCCTGTTTGATCTAAGACGCTTACGGCGCGGATCATGACCACTGCTGCTATGTGTACTCATAATGTCAATGGGCCGTAATGTACCTTCACTGGAGCTATCGTTAGTCCCATTTGATGTTTTTGGACTTGTATCTGTTTCAATAGTGGTGTGGGGATTTATCCCAATCCCTACTGGTTTGTCCGAACGTGCTGCATCGAGTGCATCTGCACTATTTCCTATGTCCACAATACTAATGTGTTGTGGAGGCGTAAGCATCTCAATTTCCACTACACTGTCGCCGGCCTTAGCATCGCTTGTGTGGAGAGCGGTCTTGCTAACATTATCTGTTTTTTAGAAGAGGAAAACCAAACACTGTTGATTGACCATCATCATCATCATCACACACGTTAGCCTGAGGTGGGGAACACCTCAGCTACTGTGCCGCAATACACAGAAAAAGGAGAAAAAAATGCAACTGGTGCAAGCCAGATGAGCTACCGCTAACAGATGGGCATCGTTACGGTAAGCTACCAGCCGGCTACTGTGCATAAAAAATCACTATGCAAATTATATAAGGCTAAATAGTGAGATCGTGGTTGGAGGGGGAGGCTAAGAGGGATTGGGTGGGACAAAGAAGCTCACAGCACGAACGCCAATGAGGTCGGCTCCTAGCCATATCAGCAAGTGTGTCCAACCAAACGTGTTCATCGTCTTTCGGACCCCAACCAGGGAGCCGAGACGCTCCAACCGAGACCAGCTCAGAAGTGAGGGCCTTCATTCCTCTGGACCAAGTCATCGCTTGGCCACTCCTCCTCTTCTTCCATCCACACCCCCGGCGCGCAGACAACACACGTCGAGGGAGTCTGTGGGCTGACATGCGTAACACGTGGCCGAGCCATCGGAGCCTGGTGCGTGAAATAACGGTGCTGTGCGGTTCAGTTCCTTTTCCTGTGCCATAAACAAGGCGTCGGACACGCTCGTTTCTCACGCGGTGTTTCCACCAGATGTGAGCTAAATTACGAAGACACCGGTGGTCGAATGTAACTAGCCTCTTCAGGTCCGTTGTTTTAAGGGGCCTGTTTTCACAACCGTACAGTAGGGTCGAACGTACCGCTGCATTGTACACTCTACCCTTCAGGGCGAGAGTGGTGTCGCGCCAGCGCCATAAGTGGTGGAGGTTAGCAAAAGCGCCCCGAGCTTTTGCTATACGGTTCGTGATTTCATCTTCAATCCCACGGACGCTGATACAACTTCCCAGGTAGTTGAATTTTTGAATGACTTCTAGCTGATCCCCACCAAGGGTCAGCGAAGGAGGCGGTCCAGACCAATCTTGGAGAAACGCTTTGCACTTCGAGGGTGCGAAGCAAAGCCCGAAGTGACGGACTGCTAGTGCTAATCTGTTCAGTGCCGCTTGGCACGTTTGTGAGCTGTCACAGATTAGGGCAATATCATCAGCATACTCTAAGTCAAGAAGTCGTTCTCCAGGGAGTAGCTCCACACCTTCTAAGTCTTGTCCTGTGAACGCGATTTCCATGACTTCGTCAAC